TCTGCTCTCTCAGGGTTTGACCAGCCGTCATTTACAGTGACTAGTGACTCAGAGGTGGATCATTCCTCAGAGTGGGCTGTCAGACAAACCTGGGTTTTTCTAATCAGTCATAGCAGGAACAAGAGGTTATCACTGGGATTATCTTCTTGTGTGGTGAGTCAGCGCCTTGGAGGTGGGATAAACCAAAAGGTTTTTTTTTTTTCAGATGAAGAGACCAAGTTCACTTTGACCATATAAGGGGAAATGAAACACCTGCCTGAACCATGAGTCATGTGTTTAGTACGATTTCAGCTCATGCTGTCTTAGGGAGAAGTGGCATCAGCAGAGTCACACATTGCTGATGAGCAACAAACACACGGCTCTGTTGTTTTGGACTATTTTAACGGTTACTTCTTCTTCTTCTTCTTCTTCTTCTTCTGTTTCTTCTCCTTTTTCATCTTCTTTTTCTTCTTCTTCAAAAGGGAAATCTCTGGGAACTATGACAGCTAAAAGGCGATTTGAGCTGCCGTTTTTATTAGGTTGTTTCCTGCTTTTGCTTTGTCCTCTCTGTTTACGGTCACTTCATCCTGGTTTTAATTCTGGGGTGGGGCTGGGTGCATATGCGAGGTCGAGTCTGTTATGGGGCCAGAAAATAAACATTTACATTTGGAAATGTCCAGCCTAAACAGATACAGACCATGATTAAATTCAAAGGCTGTTATGTAAACAAATAAATAGAAATTTGAATAATAAAAATTGTTTTACTGCAGCCTCGTGATCATAGTTTCTAACCCGTATCTCTGGTAATATTGTTATTGCTGCTCCTGCTTACAGCTTTACAGTCAAATTCAGATTGAATGAAAGATCAAATGTTATAGTTTTCATTTTTTTTGTCACACCAAAAACACCTGGAATTTTGATTGATTTATATTGTCTGGGATTTATGCCATAGATCCACATAAAGTAGTGCATCAATGTATGTTGGAAGGAGGAAAAAATACACTTTGCTAACTTTTGCATCAGTTTAATATTTGTTCTTCCAGTTCTGGTCAAACTGATTAGGAAAATCAGTTTGACCAGTCAAAAAGAATAATCTTTGCTTTAATTTTTGAGCACTTTCTTCAGCAGTTGGCAACAACGGAGACGTGTTTTAGGCAAGTCCTTCTGCTGCTTGGTTGTCTGGAAATGTGAGAGATGTTCCTCCCCTCTCAAGATTAAATCTGTTTATCTAAAGAAAGTCAGTGATTCATTGGAATCTTCCTGAAAAGTTAAGTTCGTACTTGAACTATATTTATGCCTAAGGTAACATTGTGGTTGCAGCTTTTACTGTCTCAAAGCTTTGACTATTAAAAAAAAATCTCTCCCAAAAGACTTGAACCATCATAACTAGACATTTATTACGTTTTCCATCTTGAAGTGTGACATTTATCTTTAAAATGTTTCTGGATACGCATTTTCGAGGTGATAGTTAAGGCTATGATGTCTCCAATGTAAAACTAACGCATCTGTTAGGAGTAAAATTGAAAGTGCAAAACCTCATTTGCACTTTTTCCAAATCTGCAAGATTGAACAGACATTTCCTCATAATTTCATTCACTCTGATAAAGACAAAAGAAAACAGAAAACACCAGTCCCTTCTGAAGAGAGAGAGAATATGACGCTGTCACTCCACATTGCACTCCACAGTGTTATTTTAGTGTTGTTTTCTTACATAGTTTCTTTTGTCCAGACACGAGGATAAAACAGGAGTTCTGTCACCTGTAAAACACAACCTGTACTTGTCTGAAATCGCTGCAGCTCCTTTGGTGTTGACATTGGCAAATATGGAAGGGGTTTTTGTTGCTGTTGTAAAAAAGAAAAAAAAAAACTGTCTTGCTTTGGATGCTGGTGTGGTGACTAAAATAGTTACTTCACTGCAGGATGTCCTCAAAATCTCAGCTGTGCAAGCCTTTCAGCAACATCTCTTGGAAAAGCATGCACTGGTTTTCTGTGTGCTGGCTGTGATTCAGGTCCGGCTGCATGTGTTGTTCTTTATCCCTCGCCTCCTGGGTTTCCCCCTTGGCTCTCGTGAAGCAGGACAAAAGCGTTGCGGAGGATTAAAAAATGAAGACGAGGATTTTTGAACATGTGCAGGACGGTGTGTAAATTTGAGCAGAGTTCCCCTTCATGTGCCCTGCACTTGTGCAGGTTGCCTCTGTTGATCTAGCTGGGTGACAGGCAATTAAACTCAGAAGAAAAATTGCCGTCTTCCTGTTATTCATAGCGCAAAGAGTTGTGCAACGGCTTGAAGTTTCAAAAGGGTTGTCGCTGACGACATGAACCAAGGGCAGTTTCCTCTGCTCAAGTGGATTATCGCTAACTCTTTACCAGGAACGATAAGAAATTTGAGGAAAATGTGTTTGAGAAAGGAATGCAAAGAAATTTAAAAGATAGATAAAAGAAGAAAAACTGTACAGACTCAAAGTGAAAGAGGAGGGGTTGCATTTGCAGGAGTGTGTGTGTGATAGTGTGTGTGTGTGTGTGTGTGTGTGTGTGTGTGCATGTGAGTGTGTGAAGGATGGTTATGATGTTGAGCCTGTAGTACACTGTGTACTCCAACATTGCTGGAGGAGCTTTCACGAGCTGTTGAGCGATTGATGGCTGTCTCAGCAAGAAAACACTGTGTCCTGTTATTTAAGCAGCTCTGTGAAAACACTTTTACATGGTGACAGAAGCAGGAGTTAAAATACACATAAGCAAAAGTATGCACCTAATTACATCCACAGCAATCTGACAACTTAGGAACTGGCACAGCTTGAATTTTAGACTCTAGGTTGAGTAAAAACGTGAGGTTTGTACTCAAGCTGGCATCAAACCTGTCAATCAAATTTGTTTTTCCTCCTCCTCCCAATACAATGTTTAGAAGTGTTACTAATATGTTAAACTTTCTAAAACCAGTTCCGTTAAATCGATTATCCAATGTTGTTGTGCTGTTTAATCTGTTGGAACCTGTAATAAAAGATAAATTCACATTATGCTTTCCACCTTGTAACATTTGGGTCATGTTAGAGATTATATTTGTGTCAATTTAAAATGTTTATTTACATTTGCAAATATTAAATCAGTGCCAAATGCTGTGCCTGTTATTTAAAGATTTTATTGTCTGGATAGTTTTTCACAGTTCTAGTAAACTTTACATTGAAAAACTTTGATTTTCTTCATGATTTTGTTTTTTTAAACAATTTTGTCAAACACCAGCCATTTACTTTCTTATCAGTGTCGTCCAAGGACCCAGAGATTCTGTTCTTTGGAATGCTTCTTTTCCACTGGGACACCAGTTGACATGACACTCACACTCACACACACACACTGAGTCTCCTGAGGTTCAGGGCAGCACAATGTCATTATCATCCACCGGATCGTGCGTGGTCACTGCCCATTCAGCACTGCTGACGTGCCTTTTGTGCTCTGTAATTCTTCTCACTGCTGCTCCCTCCCACCACTAGAATCCCCCTTAAACTCTGTCCTACCACCCAAACACCAACCCACCCGCCGCCACCCACCCACCCCGCCATCCCCACTACAGCACATATGTAATCCCTTCCCCCAGCCCCGCACCCCTACATCCGCCCTGCCTCACTCCGCACTTCTTCAAAACAAACCAGCTGTCCTGGCCGGTCGGGTCCCCCTGGGGCGTAAACAGGTGTCGGGAGGGCCGCGGGGCCTTAGCATGTATGACACATGGCAGCACGCTCCACAGCCCTTCTCCTCCAACCTGCTGACACACCACTGACCCCAGAGAGACTGAGTTTTACAGCTGGAGACTAGACTGTTTGTATGGATGAGGGTCTGATGATAAATCCAAACTATTCGTGGCACAGAAGCCGTCGAGTGAAAACAAATGTGTTCCGTGTTGCATGTAAAATGTTCAAAATGTCAGAAGATTTCAAACATAAACCTCGGGATTCATTGTGAAAATACACATTGCTGGGTTCCCGAAATAGATGAAAGGAAAGGCATCTGTCCTGGTGGCCCTGAAATATTTTTAGCACAAACTACACTCTGTGTGCTGTGGGGAAGGGGTGACTGCTGGACACAAGCGCATACCAAAGCCACAGACCTGCCCTGCTATTCTGGGTTAACCTGGAGGGTTTACTAGATATCTGACGATCACTTGCACCCTTTGTGAGTCTGCCGTGTTTCATTAGCCTCAAAGAGGTGCACACGGAGAGTGAGCTATCACAACTTCTTTTGCAACTCTTTCAAAAGCTCGCTAATACGATTCCTCCTACGTTTGCAGCAAAGGCTAACTTTTTGAAGACTGGCGAACCCCATACCGTCCCACTACTATCACTCTCTCTCTCTGCATGGTGAGCCCATTGCTGCTGCGCTCTATTGTACATCTGGCACTTGACTTCTTGACACCTCGTCTGCATGAGTGCATGCAGGAGGAGAAGGAGGAGGAGGGGGTGTATTTATGCACATGAGAGCATGTGTGTGTGTGTTTCTGTAATTTAGAGGCTGAACCAAACTATAAACTAAATTGGCACCTTGTCGAGGCAGAAGAGTCTCTGTTTGTACACCCGACAAGCCGAGGCAAGTTAACGTGTCATCTTCTGCCTTGTGTGCAGTGACTTCTATCAGCTTGCATCTGTGCTGCTTTTCACTCACATGGAGACAGACAATCAGGGAAAGAAAAATTCTTGGAAAGTTCTGTGCTCAGGTGTGTGTTTATACAACAAACACAGTTAATTGGGTGTATTATAATGCAACACCAACAGTGTGAACGTCTAAATTGTGGTTTTAGACTTCTGGCCCTCATTTCGCCTATTGTCTTGAAAAAGAAAACCGGCATCCAAGAGAACTGTGTGTCCACGCTTTTTGGAGCAATAAAATAAACACTTTACTCAGTGTTATATAAGTGATTCAAGCGGTCTAGCTGTGAGTGATTGTGACCGCATATTTAGTCAGCCACATGGACGTTCATCAGCATGAGAAGAAAAGCCATGGATTGTGCAACATCAGCACAGCCCATTTGGCCAGCTGCTGCTCAGACTGGGCTGCCACAGGTCTGCAGTGTGCAGTCTGAAGCCTGAATGGAGAGTCTCAGCAGCAGCTCCCGCATTTGCATTTGATGCAGACTTCAGTCGAGCGACCACAACACCCGCGGAGGCTTCTGAACTTCACAAAACTTTGCCGTCAGCAGATTTAAATTCCCAGAGACGAGGTAGTGTTAGCAATACAGCTTTCATTTTTGATACTCGAGTCGTAGATGTAGTTTAGATGCGCTTTCAGTTCGTATTTGTTCCAAAAGCGCAGTGTCGAGCGAATCCCGACGGACTACTTTTTCTGGCGGAGGAGCAGTAAGTCCAGGGCGCAACAGACTACCGGTGCACAGTCGGCTGTTTAGCTCGATTCAGGGCGAAGGAGTGTGCAGCAGCCGGGGAGTTTTAACTTAGAGATGCTCCACAGCTTCGCTTCATAAAGTAAAACTGCTTTTTTTTTTTTTTTTTTTTTTTTTTTTTCTTGCTAAGCAACGCATTAAACCTTCGCCGTTTGGACCGTTGTAGGGCCAGGTGGTTTTGGTCCAAACCGGCGGACTTCCCGACACTGGACGGACTTGACTGAACTCTGAAAGATGTCAATTTTGCCTTTCACTCCCCCCATCGTCAAAAGACTTCTGGGCTGGAAGAAGGGAGAGCAGAACGGCCAGGAGGAGAAATGGTGCGAGAAAGCGGTTAAAAGTCTTGTGAAGAAGCTGAAGAAGACGGGGCAGCTGGACGAGTTGGAGAAAGCCATCACCACGCAGAATATCAACACGAAATGCATCACTATACCGAGGTAAGAGGGGGGGTTAAGGAGACGGGGTTGTGGGGATGTTGACCGTAAAGTTAGCAAGTCGGCTTTTAACATTTTCTAACAGGCTCATTGCAAAACATGAAGGCTTTTTTCTCTTCAGGCTAAGCGAACTATTCCACTTTGAACGTCACTTCTTGTGAGAGAAGTTGACCTCTCCAGCTCCTTTCTCGAGTCGATATTTCAAACTCTTGCTTCCTCCATCAACATGGAGCCTGCAGAGGAGCTAACAGTGCTCTGTGTTTGCAGATCAGAGCCTAAATATCCTGCTTGTGGGCTCTTTGTGTATCAGTGTAATGCAATCATATGCACTGTGTATCTTCATTAAACTGAAACTGATCCCAGTTTTACCTTATGACATGAATCGTGTTGCCCAAACACGTTTTTGGTGTGTGCATAACCGGCCAATAGGACACATGCAATGCAAAAGCACCGATGTAGTCCAAGTTATATAACTTGGCCTTAATCTGGGACGCTTTCTAGCGTTGCTAGTGCGTAGGCGAGTCTGTGAGGATGGTTTTATCTTCTCTCCTTTCAGCGTCTCCCTGCAGCTATTTGTCTGTCAATACATCATTTATAATAAATAATAGGTGAAGTCAAATTACTGCTGCTGGTGGTTCAGTAACAGGTTATAAATCCCCTACTCCAAAAGCTGCCACAGCCATATATTATCGCTCAGAGTTATGCAAAGCATGACACATTATCTCCATGCCAAAATGTACAAATAATATATAGTTTTCATAATCAGACGGTTTTAGTTTAGCTACATGGGCCACATGGATTGGGGCAAATGCTGTTTTTTTTTTTTTTTTTTGCAATTACAGTGTAAGTTATAATAACAAACATAAGTCAGCAGAGTTTTTTTTTTTTTTTTTGCTATAATCACCACTGCAGACAGTGCACAGCCTCACAAGCACTCCAATTAAAACTTCCCCATTAATTTACTTCACCAATTATGTTAAGTACTGCGACTGAGCAAACAGTACACAATAATCATTGTGTTCAGTGGTGTTTTTTTTTTTTTTGTCCTGGAGCAGAGCGTGCCCAAGTAAATCAGCTATTCTTACTATAATATTAGTGTTTCGGGTTTGCAGATATCATCAGTTAATTTATTGTTACTGCTGCAGGATGACAAATTGTTAGGTTGCGTTCAGTATATTGCCATCAATGCATTGTTGCTCACCTGTAGTTGCAACTGGATGAGCAACAACAAGTGAATAATTCTAATAATAATAATAATAATAAAATAATAAAAGTTGAAGGTCGCACCAGATGAGTTAAAAAGAAAATTACAAATTGAGGCCAAAGCATAAGTCTTATTCATTTCAATTTCCATTTTGTTCACAGTGTTGAGGAAAGCAGAGTTTCTTTCAAGCTCAAGTTGTCCTAATGGCGGAAAACATTACGCTGCATTTTATAAGTATACGTTTTACTAAAACAGACACCCATAAAGTTTGGAATAACTGTTTCATTTTGTATGACAGCAAATACAGTAAAGGGATCTATAGATGAAGGCCGAGAAGGGCACTAGTGCTGCGCAGAAAGTTACAGAAAGGCATGACCAGGCCTTTCTCTGTAATAACGCTGTGTTTACAGGCTGAGCAAATTTAGAGACTTTCACCACCCTTATAAGCTGAATGAAGCCCGTAAAGATGCTTCTAAAAGCATCCTAAGGTACAGGTTTTACCACATTGCTTATGTTTACGAAGGGAGTATTAAACAGTTAGAAAAGACTTATTATACAAAACACATTTTATATTTTTGCTTTAAATTGAGACACCCATAAACACAAAATAACCATATATCTTGTGTCTTAATGTAATCTCAAACTTTGTTTCAAGCAGTGTTGAAATATAAAGTTGAACTGCAGCTAATTAAAACGAGAAAGTCAAGCTTTGACTCTAAACTACGTCTTCCAAGGATTTTTGTTTCTTTTAAGGTCTCCTTGTAATTATTTTAATTATTGTAAAAAAAAAAAAAAGTCCAAACCTTAGCTCGGGTCTATAAAATCTGGTTTGCCTGGGTGGGCCGCTCCTTCAGGTTTAATAGCATACTGTGTCAGATGAAATCCGAAGCCCTAATAGGGCACTCCTACATTCTCGACCACCACAAGTGTGCATATCACAGCTACCAGCAGCTCGTGCCAGCATCCTGAGCTAAGCCTACCCAAAAAGTTAAACAACGTCCGCTATGGTCCAGGTTTCATGTTTCCCACTGCTAATGCGGAGAGGAAGAGGCAGAGTGCATTAAGATGACCTCAGACCAGAGCCGACTGTCACTTTGGGCCAACAGGGTCCCTGGAGAACTGCTGTTTCTATTAATTCCCCAAGCCGTGGCATGCTGACAGCAGCTGCCTGCGTGTTCAGGCCTGTCCGCGGGGAGGTCAGCTCCTATATCTATGACACATGAACTTTGTGTCGAGGCCAGTGCGCTTTGTGATGGTTTCTCGGTGATGCTGAGTGCGGAAGTAAGCCGGCGCTGCGTATCGATTGGGTCAATAAGCTGTATCAGGTGGTGGAACAGCAGAGCACGTCTCGTATCACATATCATCACAGGGAAACGAAACATTTAAAGGAACAAGATGCGGAATACGACGGAAGATGTCTCGCTGACTTAGTCGTTTTATGTCACACTCACCAAACGGTGATTAGTTTTAACTTTAACTTTTGACGTAATGACTCGTCTGTCTTCAACCAGCAACTGGAGCACCAGTGTGGGTGGTTATTATGGTCAATGAGGGTAGTTTATGTAAAAATACATAGGCATATCGCAATAAGCAATAAACTAGTTAATAAAATTTCCATTTGCATAATTTATTGTGTTTCTCTTTTCTCTTGTTTCTACCAAAGACTGCGTAACCAAAGTTTTCAGTCTGGTGCTTTGGTCACAGCTAGCTCTGTTTCTTTTGAAGGACAGTTTTGTTTACAGAGACTTAATAATTAATTTTATTTGTTGATTCTGTTGTTTTATTTATTTTGTATATTTAAAATGTTGTCAAATGTTCATTAGAATATAAAGTTTATCGATCTTTGAGAATGTGTTCTTGGATTATTATGCCATTACCATTATATTACTTTAAAATGGTCTCCAAACAACAACATTACCACAATAACGTCTGGGATAATTTATCATCCAGCTAATTTGTTACAGTGACAGACCTATTAATAGGTTTACATAAGAGATAAGGCACTCATGGTATCTCAGTGGTTTACTCTTACTTTCATTTAAAGCTGGAACACGGTGCTTCAGACTTTGACTGAATCTTGCACAGGGGAGCTTATTTTCTTGCTTTTTTACATTATTTGAGTCTTGACAGTGAGCATTTTTACTATTTTAAGACATCATAGGAAAAAAAGTGAAAGCCAAAGCTCTTAACAAGTTTGAGTCTTACTCATTGGGGATGGGGTAATGTTGGCATTGTGGGGCTTCCTACTCTCCCTCCTGCTTTACTCTGTTTCTCCTCTTGATTTCTCCTTTCCTCTGAGTTGAAAACATGTATGAGTAACAAAAATAAGTTTGTAAAATGTGTCAGTCTGTGGTAATCTGCTGCTTTATCACGATTTAGGATTAAACGTGACTAACGTCTTCCTCCTGCAGTTGATTAGCTAAAGCACTGATTCACAAACACAAGTTACACAAGCTGCTGAGTATTTGTAAATCGGAAGCAGATGGAAAATTGACCCAAACTTTGCTGGACTAGTCAACAGCTGGTTGATGTTGATCCCGTACCTGCTTTTTTAAATCTAAATGTGTTTGCTTCTTTTAGCTCTGGTTTTGATTTTTGTCTAAGTTTAAACTTGGAAGATGAGGATCGTTTAGCCTTAAGGAAGTCATTTTTTCTCTCCAAACCAAACCACAGTGTTTTCCTAACTTTGGCTGGGGAGTTGTTGTAGTTTTGAGTTCTCACCTTTTCATAACCCTCGTGGTGTTACTTTTGGGCTTAAACCTGTCTAAACATCACCACTGTGAAATTACTGCTTTAGAGCAGTCAAACATTTGAATTCATCATACAGCGAAACAGCATCATCATATGCACTGTTTGGGTTTTATTACCTAACGCAGATTTTTAAGGTTTTCTTTGAGGTCCTTTTTAGAAAATGTTAAAACTCATTTAAGTTTGATTTGCTTCAATAATAAACATTTACTAGTAACAAAAAAGTGCTGCAAAATTGTGCTGGAAATGAAATTTTTCAAAAAGACGGAGCTATTAGTTTGGCTGAATTTAACCCAGAAGGGAAACAAATCCAACATGTCTAAGTTCAACTATTAAGAATGGCAGAAATGGACTTAAAATTTCTCAAATTTATTATTTTTTGCTACAAATGTTTTTCTGCTTACAGGGGGAAAACAAACAAGGACTGAATGTTTTTGGGTGAATTCAGACATTTTGCTTCGCTGAGCATTTGTTGTGTTTGTATATATTTATCCTGGCAACAAGTGTGTGCAGTCTGATTCACATGGCTGCATGTCAGGACAGGAGGGAGATGAAGGGGGTGAAGACTAGAACGAGTAAAAGAGTAAAACTGATGAGTACATCTACGAGAGAGATGAAAGTTGACCAGAGAAGTGAGAGACTTTTTCCATAAACAGGGTGTCTGTGCACCATTAAGAAGTCTTAACCTGTCTGTCACGAGAGGACCCAAATTTGGGTCCTCTCGTGACAGGTTCCAGGGGTGTCAAACTCCAGTCCTCAAGGGCCTCTGTCCTGCAACTTTTAGATGTGCCTCTGCTGCACCACACCTGAAAATAATAATTAGGTCACTAGCAAGGCTCAGGAGAACCGATCTACACAGGGAGGAGGTAATTAAGCCATTTCATTCCACTGTTTTTTACCTGTGGCACATCTAAACACTGCAGGACAGCGGCCCTTGAGGACTGGAGTTTGACACCCCTGTCATTGTGAATGACAACCTGAGACCAACAGGTTAAATACATATAGCTAAAATTGAAACCTTAAAATTGTCTTAAATTTATATTTTAAAAAA